CTCAAATCATCTAGTTTTAATATAATAAAACCAATTACCACCAAAATTACGTGATTAGTCAAACTAGAACAGTTTAGATAATGTTTTCCATGCCCCTAAGTATAATTACACACCTTAATTATTATTTATCTTAATTATCTAACCTAATTAAACATTACATTAATTTTTACAGTCAATTTCAATGGATTAAAGTGTAGTAGCTCAAAGGTTTAAACATTGCATTAATTTTTACAATTAATTTCAATGGATTAAAGTGTAGCAGCTCAAAGGTTATTGTTTTGCATTTGAATTGTGTTACTCTAATATCGTGAAAGGGCTCAATCTAGAGTCGTGGTTATAAGGGAAAATCATTTATAAGGGCTCAATTAGTTTTTTTAAAAATATTTATGCAATGTTTTGATCGTATTAACTTGAATATTTGTTGTTTTTTCGTGGGTAGGGGTGCAAAGGTGTTGCACGAGAACACAACTAAGAAAGCAACTCAGGATGTTGGAGGAAATAATGCTGGTGGAACCAAAGAAATAGATAATTGTTTAGTTGTTGATGCTGATTTTAGAACATGATGACTGCGTTGTTGGTTTTATACGTTTAAAATAAATGGTAATATATATTTTCAAATAGATTTTGATTTTATGTGTTGCTTTCGGTTTATGTTGAAGATTATATGAATCTCTTCCTTTTCAATTTTAATTATTTCGTTCAAATATGAATCCCTTTGTTTATTATACAAGATATATGGTTTTTACAAATATAATTTATGTAACATTACACTATTTCTATTTGATTTAAGGTCTCATTCTGTTCTCATCGTAAAAGTCCAATTGATGGCAGACTTTTGTGTGTGTTTGAAGGGTTTGTGTAGATATTCTTCTCCCATGCAACAAGTTATAATAAATTTTTTAAATAGGTTAGTTTCTAATCAAAGATCTTTATTTCACATTAATTGTCTAAATCTTTTCTTTCCTTAGTCTTAACTCTTTTCATCCATTTGGAAAAGGAAAAGAAATCTATTGACAACATCAATTCTATTGGGAAAATTAAGAAAAATACTAAGTTTGTAATTCATTCCTATTCATTGTTAGTATTTTGTTTTAATTGTTGGTGTTTGAAATTTTTAATACCAATTATTTTTGTTAAATTCATATAGGTTAATTAATCATATAATACTACTTGCATTTTGGTAATTGTTTCATCCAAATTAACTAAAACCATTCAAAAAAAATTGCTTAAATCTATTTTAAGCCATTAAAATATAAAAATCATCACAATATGTACAGTAATAAATCAACTTTCTAGATCCAGAGTAATAACATAAATCCTTTTAATTTTCACATATTATGTATTTATTTTTTTGAAATGGTTGATTAATTTTATTCTCCCACTTAGTGGTTGCTTATTAGAGTGTTAGTATACTTACTGTTATAAAATATGGATTTGATTTGTTGTAGAGAAGTCATGTATAAAAACTAGGATAGAGTATACGAGTTTGGTTTGATTTGTTAGAAAAAAGATTAATTATGAATTAAAATATAATGTTTAAGTAAATCATTTGCAATAATGAAAACTTATATTTTGTTTGAATACAAACATAGATTAAATACTTAATTTTTCTATTATTTAGTATATTTTATTAATTTAATAAAAAATAATTTAATTTTGTTTTATACATTACTCAGTTTTATTGAATAGATCCATATTAAAACAGATTTTAGTTTATAACTAAAATGCAGTTAATTATTTATAATATATTTTAATTTAGTATTAGGAATATGCACATTAAAATTACAAATAATTATATACATATGTAAATTTTATTTTTTAATGATAAAATGGTAAAATATATACTAAAAATTTCTATAATATTTGTTTTAACAAAAAAACATGAGACAATTACGATGTATATCACTACAACATTTAGGCTCTCCTGCAACAATTGAAAAACATTGCCAGAACTCTGAAAATCGTTGCCTAAAACAATAGGGGACGTTTTCTAGGCGTCTCCTGTGCGAGCGTTGCCTATTGTTTGAGGCGACGTTTTTTTATATTTTTTGGGAACGCTTTTGAAAAACGTCGCCTATAGTAAAGGAATAGGGGACGATTATTTACAGCCTCCTAGACAATGTTTTTTAAGCGTTGCGTTGCCAAATTCGGCTACAATTAACAATCGTTGCCTTAAACCTGAATCAGGAAGATCGTTTTTGAAGTGTAGCCATAGCTTATAGGTTGTTGTTTTATAGTGTTCACATAAAATATACAATTTTGCAATTATTATCAAAATAATATAGTCAATAATAATTGGCTTCAAAAATAATATTGATTATATAACTTCAAACATACATCCATAAAAGTTGTAATATAATAAAATCGAGTTCAAACTTTAATTCAAGATATAGTATATAGAGTACATAAAATGCCTAACGTAACAATATTACTTTTAATACTTTGAAGTATGACCCTAGTAAAATAACTAAAAACATAGTTCAGCAAAAGAACAAAAATCATATTTCAAGTTTAATGCTTTCAACTACAAGCCAAAAAAAAGACGTCATCCAACTCATTCAAGTTTGTCTTCTAGGAGTAAAGCATCCAGATCATCCTCTTAAAATTCGTTTGATATGTCATCCTCCATAAATTCTTCATCTACGTCGTCCTCTTGAAATTCACCATCTATATCCTCCTCTTGAAATTCATCATCTAGATCTATGTCGTCCTCTTGAAATTCGTCATCTACGCCGTCCTCTTGAATTTTATCATTTAGGTCATCCTCTTGAATTTTATCATTTATGTTGTCCTCTTGAATTTCATCATTTATATCGTCCTTTTCAACATCTTCATTGATACATTGCTGCATAAGAAAATAAAATAAAACACATTGACCATAAGTATTTTTGGTCCAAAGGACATTTAAGACATCAACAAGAATTAAACCTCGCACAAATAAAAACTAAACCAATGAGCAAAACACATTGTTTATATTCTTCACATCTCATGGATGTGAATTAATTATGAAGGTTTTTAATGGATGTGAATTTTCGTTCTAAACTGTAATAGGTGACATGAGCTTACTAGCAAATAAATCAATTATGAAAACCATTTTGTTTTTGGCTCACTATTCAGGACTTACAATAGCCTTTAACTGTATGTATGTATGTATGTATAACTTGTGCTATCCTTTTATGTTTATTTTTTGGAGTAAATAAACTCTGATGAACACTCTTACTTGTTGTATCTTCTTTGGTGTTTAGTATCATATGGATAAATTTACAGCATACATAGTGAGTGTTATCAAACAAGGGGGTCCCATAATCTTATCCCAGGCAAGTATGTTTGTGAAATATCAACGAAAGCTCACACAAATAAAACAGTTTCAGCCACTTCTAGGTGTTGTCACTACTTAAACAATTTCAACCACTTACTTTATTCTAGGTGTTGTCACTACTTGCAAATTTTTGCATACATTAACAACTATTTTGATACTATAACATAATTAGAAAAATATAAATCAATAATATTGGTATATATGGTTACCTTTCCATGACATGGAGGATGAGTTGATGTAGATGAATGCATTTGCGGTCTTATATCCTTTGGGGAACTATTAGCATCTCCATGAGATAATCCTAACAAATCTTCAATTGACTCTATATTAATTTGAGGATTGCATTGTTGTATTACGGTCTTAAAAGCATTTTGCAATCTATCAATCTTATCTTGAAACTTGTCCCTTAATGTAGAGACCTCTTCACTGTGGGCTTGTTTCAAAGCATTAATCTCTGCCTTTCTCTTTAAAGAAGTTTTAGTTATATTTCTCCCATAACAGCGTACCCTGCCTGGACACTCCTTTCCAAAAAAACCTTTAAAAGCTTCTGTATCACTTTCCTCCTTTTCAACCAATTTTCATGACATCCACTACCACAATTTTTTTCATATGGTTAATGAGTTCCACAGTGCTTCAAACCTTTGAAAAACTACAAAACTAATCGAGTTACAGAAAGATCAGTTTGAATATTCAAATAGGTTGATGTGAAAAAAACCATAGTCTGATCGTGTAAAGAACAAAACATGAACGATATAAAGAAAATAAAAAGTTAATATAACTAAACATTAGTAGTACTATTTCTTCTAGTAAGTTGATGTGAAAGGTTGTTGGAATCTTTCACTTTCTCAATAGCTAACGGTGGAGAATATCTTTGACTAGATCAAACCCAAACCCAAAAACACTACAACATCTTGGAGATAAAAACAAAAGTCAACAACATTTTTTTATTAATTCATGTAAATTTATCTTTTATGTTCAACATTATTCATCTCTTTCTTAGCACTTGCTTGCAAGCAATGTGTGGCCTTTGAATCCTGGTTAAAGACTTATAGTAACAAAATAAAACATTGTAAAACAATGATGTTTTTACCTTCTTCTTTTATAAAAAGACAGTGTCATTGAATATTTAAATGTATACACCTCAAACTAGCAGTTACAACTTGATAAAGAAACATCTTTTTATTCTTACAGCATGGTCCCATAAAAATTACTTCATACTCTAATAGAAAAAAATTGCACCTCTTGATGAGACTAAAAGTGCAATAATCATTTTTCTATAAATATACAATGTCTCGGTCGTTATCTCTGAATGTACCAAAATTTAATCTAGACTCAGATGTTTTATAATTTTGATACATTCGAAGACTGTTATGAAAGTATTTTAGACAATTAAAGACGAAATCGAAACAACTACTTACTTTTCTTAAACTATATATAGGAAATTATAGGAGAGTGGCAAATGGCTTTATCATAGAAAGCCTTTGCAGGCCAAAGCCAATAATAAATAGTCAAATATCAGCAAGAATATATATAATGTATGTGTATGTAACAAGATTATATATCTTAAATGTGTTTATTATTTGAGATCATTATAGCCTTAAAATTTGTTTCTCTTCTGGTTTAGTTATAAGATCCTATTAGTCCATTAAGTAGAATTTTTGAAGGTGAGAAGAAGAAACAAATGGGAAAGGCAAGTAAATGGATTAGAACCCTTCTTCTAGGGAAAAAAGAAGAGAACTTCAAGCAGATTGATACTTTCTGCTCGGAGAAAAAGACCGCAAACGCGGTTAAAAGTAGTAGCAGTAGTAATAAAATGGTAGTGAAGCGAAAATGGAGCTTTCGAAAACTAACAGGTGGAAGATCAACAGGAAGGATAGTAGCGCATAAAGTTTCCAAGTCTTTTGACTCGATTGATTCTTCGAAATTGCAAATTCAAGCTTTGATGTTCCAAACTCAGACTCCAAGAACAACTGCTGAGTTTGTAAAAAGAGCTGCTACAAGGATTCAAGCTTCCTTTTGCTCCTATTTGGTATTTAACTTCTCTCCATATTCATCAATTTTTTTATTAGACTCTGAGCACTGGATCAGACACGTAGACATGTAGACACTGATAATAATTTTAAAAAATGACTTTGTTAAATGTAATCGCGTGTGCTATTGTTGGTGTCAGACACCAAACACATCGTGTTACAGGTAGATAGTTTATAATATAAGATATGTACAAAATTTGCAGGCAAGGAGAGCACTGCATGCTTTAAGAGGATTCGTGAAGTTACAAGCACTAGTGAGAGGTCATCTTCTAAGGAAACAAACAACTACAACACTGCGAGGGATGCACGCATTGATGTCTATTCAAGTTAGAGCTCGAATCAAAAGGATTAAGATGGCAGAAGAAGAAAATCCACTCGAAATACAACCTCCCCAACATATAGAAATTCCTCATTTCAAACCTCACAAGACACAACAAAGACAAAATCAAGTAAGCCTCTTATGAAACTCTCCCGAGGTTTATCTACCGATATAAGTACTTTTAAAACTATCTTAACAAAACTTATGAAAACAACTTATAACAGGATTCGAAGAATATGAGTGTGGAAGAAATGTTGGGAGTAATGAGGAGTAGAAGTGGCCCTCTAGATGTAAAAAGCAGAAAGTATGATTCAATGGCATATTATTCAAATCATTTGAAGAAAGAGAATAATCATAATAATACTACAAAAATCATCACAGAACCAAGCAGTCCAGAAAAATACTTCAAAGAAATGATCGATTATTTGAAGCCGACAACATCTCGGCGTGACATGGTACCTCCTATAGACAATCATGGTCATCGCCTAATTACATGAACAAGACAGAATCGTCAAAGGCGAAAACAAGGTCTAGTAGTGAACCAAGACAAAGACCAAAACTAGGAACAAAGCAAAACAGTAGTAAGAGTGTTGAAGGTGGTTTGTTGAAGCAAAATATGTTGTCACATTCAGCAAGGTATGATCATTGGGTTGTTAATTCAATGAAGGAGAGTAAACGTGATTCTTTTGATAGCTGCAGGGTTACTACTAGTGATGATTCCTACTACATGTGAATGAATTCTCTATTCTAATTCCTTAGTTGTTACAAAATAAGTTATTATGATTCAATTTTGAACGTTAATGCTTAAAGCAGCAACATGAAATGAAACAAATTTTAGTGTTACTCTGTCAATCCAATGTGTCTAAAGCTTTGCTATTAATTTCAACGCCTCGTTATGCCCAAGAGATCTTTGATTAAGATGTTAAGAACTTTGGAACAAAATAAATGCAATCACCATTTGTTGCAAGGTAGTTTTTTCTCGCAGGCACCCTCCTTGGTTCTCTTTGCCTTGGTCTTCTTAAGGAAGGCCTTCCTTTCTACTGTTGAAATCAGAGCCATTCTTTCTACAGCTAGTCTAACATGATAATGACAAATAACCAAACTTAAATCATAAAACAAACTTACGTATGAAAGCGTCGAGTCTCACAAGGTCACCATCCACTTTCATAAGGTTGCTAAACATCATTTTCCATCAACCTTGTGAAAGAAATTGAATAGAATTTCGTCTGGTACTAATCTGCTACTACAATTGACAGAATATCTACCCAATATCCGTCATGTCCCTTTTACTAACAGCGGACGACTTGGACGACGTGGACGAAAGCAGTTGGACGGCGAACGACGAACGGACGATGACGTGGACGACGAACACGGCGTGGCAGTTGGACGGAGTGACGAAGAACACGGCGGAGGGTGTGAACGAAAGAGGTTTGACTCGGAGCGGATGAAGGGCGGAGCGTTTGAGAGCGCGGCTAGGTTCGGCGAAATGTGTGAACGAAAAAGAAGGAGAATTGAAAGTTGCTGCTTTTGTTTTCCTTATCTATTTCTTTTTCTTTTTTTTTATTTTCTATTCTTTTTAATAAGACGTGGCAATAATTGAGAGGACTAGTAACGAAAAATATTTTAAATTCCTGTGTTAGAAAATTTTTTATTTTCTGTTTAATGAAATTTTTTTTAATATATATATATAAGTTTTAGAGAAATATTCATAATGTGTTAGAAAAATTCCTGTTTAATTGAAATATATATAAGTTTTAGACTAATATATATATATATATATATATATATATATATATATATATATATATATATATATATATATATATATATATATATATATATATATATATATATATATATATATATATATATATATATATATATATATATAATTTTTTATTTTCTGTTTAATTGAAATTTTTTATTTTTAATTTCCTGTGTTAGAAAAATATTTTTTTTATATATATTAATAATGTTTAGAGAAAAATATTTGTTTTTTAGTGTATAAGTTTTGGAGGGAAGATTGCCACCAAAAATTTGATAATTCTAAAAAAATTTATACAACATTTCAGAAATGTAGCCTTTTATTAGAACTAATGTAACAATCTAAAAATGTCCCCAAAAATATTTTAGGGGACAATTGTCAAACATTGCTAAAGAAATAATATTTTAACGCTCTAAAATCGTCCCCAAAAGCAGTTAAGGGCACAATTAACAACCGTTGGCAAAAAAATAAAAGAGTATCGCTCCATAAACGTCCCCAAAAGTATTTTAGGCGATGATTATCAAGGGTTGCAAACATATTTTTGACAACAATCATAAATCGTTGCCATATGAATTTAAGGCAACAATTTCTACATGTTACCTAAAAAAGTGTTACCAGAGACAATAAATGTTGTAGTGATAAAAATCATAACTTTCTTATGAAAAACACAAAGTTGTCATTCTTTTTGTTTAATTTATTTTATTATGTATTAAATATTTATAAGAATGATGGATAAATTCATATTACATTTATGCTTATGTAAATTCATACTATATGAATTTTATGTTTATATGATACTTTTGCTAATGTAAATTCATACTATATGAATTTTATGTATCTTTGTAAAAAATATTTCTTAATTTTAAAACATGATTCAATAAATAAAAGTTATTTTCAACATTTGAATTTATCATGTTTTGTTTTATAAGATAACTATAAAATAAATAACTAAGCCTACATATTTTCCACTATCACATATTCATCAAATTAATAGAAGTTAATTATTGTATTTCATTTTTTTCATATTTTAGTTTTTAAACCACATTTTTTAAATAAATTATCAAACAAGTTTTTTTGGGTACAATTATTAAAGAAGTATTTTCATACATTTTTTTAGAAACATTGATTATTCTGTTAAAAAATAGATCTTATATATTAATTTATAAAATTATTTTTAAAAACTAAAAAATAAAATACAATCAAAAAACTCTATTATCGGATATAGGTTTGAAAAAGGTGTTTATTATTAATAAGACTATGTTTGGCATTATATGTTTTTGAACTTATGGTTTATAAGTTCATATGACATTAATAGTCTATTTTATAAATTTTCTACGGGCTGAGACTACTTAAAATAGACATGCCCTACTAGTCAAGTGCAAATGCATGATTAGATGATTACTTAATTATTTTATTTATTCTTCTATTAAACTATACATTCTCGATGGACCGAGACTACTTAATTTATATATCTTTTTTATATATATTTCTTAATCATCCATATACTATATTTATTTAATATTTTTAATGATATTGTGTGACCCGTGCGAACGCACGGGTAGATAATCGATTTTATATATGAATTTGTGTGTAGTGTACTCTACCATATGCTCATATATTTTTCAATATAATTTATAAGTATATTTTGACAACTACTTCAAAATAATAAATTTAATTAATATTTTTATATCGAAATCATCATTTAAGATATTTTTTTACTTAATTCATATATTTATATATATATATATATATATATATATATATATATATATATATATATATATATATATATATATATATATATATATATATATATATATATATATATATATATATATATATATATATATATATATATATATATATATATATATATATATATATATATATATATATATATATATATATATATATATTTTAACCATAACTATATAATATTTATTTAATATTTATATCAACTTTGCGCTACCCGTGCAAACACATAAGTCATATACATTTCTTAACAATCATTATACTATTTTTATTTAATATTTATAATAATATTGCACAACCATGTAAACGCATGAGTAGATATTTAGATCTGATTTTTCGATTTCCCTACAGATAGCTAAAATAGTAATGGTTAAATTACTTTTTAATGTTGTAATTAGGGGTGGAAATAAGCTGAGTTAAAAATTTTAAAGTCTATGGTCCATTATAGGCTTATCTTTTGGCTTGAGTCTGACCTTTTCAAAGGTCTGATTAGCCTATTAGTCTGCTTAAAAATCTATATCATTTGAACAAGTACAATGAGACTAAATGGTTGTTTATATTGACTTATTTGACCTTACATAATAGCATAAGTTTTGTGAGATTATTTGTTTGAGTGAACACATGAAAAAAACTTATGTCATTATTCATAAGATTTTTGCAACTTATTTTCACAAGTTCTTTAAGATAACTAAATTTTATTTTTATATTTTAATATAAAGTACACAATACAATATAAAAAATAATAAATTTATTCATATTTATTAAAAAAGATCGTCCTGATAGGCTTAAAATACTTTTTTTATGGTCTGAGGCCTAGCCTATTCAACTAAATAGGCTTATAAAAAAGCCTAACTCTTTTTTACTTAAAAAAAAGTCTGGTCTGAGCTTGGTCTGTGTAGGCTAAGTCGTAGGCCTCTGTTAGTTGGTCTGACATATTCTCACCCTTAGTTGTAATTGATGATTGATACAACTATTTATTACTCAATTCATCTAGTTTTAATATAATAAAACTAATTACCACCAAAATTACCTGATTAGTTAAACTAGAACAGTTTAGATAATGTTTTCCATGCCCCTAAGTATAATTACACAACTTAATTATTATTTATCCTAATTATCTAACCTAATTAAACATTACATTAATTTTTACAGTCAATTTCAATGGATTAAAGTGTAGTAGCTCAAAGGTTTAAACATTGCATTAATTTTTAAAATCAATTTCAATGGATTAAAGTGTTGCAGCTCAAAGGTTATTGTTTTGCATTGGAATTGTGTTACTCTAATATCGTGAAAGGGTTCAATCTAGAGTCGTGGTTATAAGGGAAAATCATTTATAAGGGCTCAATTAGTTTTTTAAAAAAATATTTATGCAATGTTTTGATCGTATTAACTTGAATATTTGTTCTTTTTTCGTGGGTTGGGGTGCAAAGGTGTTGCACGAGAACACAACTAAGAAAGCAACTCAGGATGTTGGAGGAAATAATGCTGGTGGAACCAAAGAAATAGATAATTGTTTAGTTGCTGATGCTGATTTTAGAACATGATAAAGGCGTTGTTGGTTTTATACGTTTAAAATAAATGGTAATATATATTTTCAAATGGATTTTGAATTAATGTGTTGCTTTCGGTTTATGTAGAAGATTATATGAATCTCTTCCTTTTCAATTTTAATTATTTCGTTCAAATATGAGTCCCTTTCTTTATTCTACAAGATATATGGTTTTTAAAAATATAATTTATGTAACATTACACTATTTCTATTTGATTTAACGTCTCATTCTGTTCTCATCGTAAAAGTCTAATTGATGGCATACTTTTGTGTGTTTGAAGGATTTGTGTTGATATTCTTCTCCCATGCAACAAGTTATAATAAAAAATTTAAATAGGTTAGTTTCTAATCAAAGATCTTTATTTCACATTAACTGTCTAAATCTTTTCTTTCCTTGGTCTTAACTCTTTTCATCCATTTGGAAAAGGAAAAGAAATCTATTGACAGCATCCATTCTATTGGGAAAATTAAGAAAAATACTAAGTGTGTAATTCATTCATATTCATTGTATGTATTTTCTTTTAATTGTTGGTGTTTGAAATTTTTAATACCAATTGTTTTTGTTAAATTCATATAGGTTAATTAATGATATAATATTACTTGCATTTTGGTAATTGTTTCATCCAAATTAACTAAAACCATTCAAAAAAAATTGCTTAAATCTATT